CAAGTGTCATATTGTTCGAATAATTGGGTTGTTGAACGTGTTAGAACCTTGCACCCTCCCTCTTTTAACAATTAACTCCTAACATTCTTGCCTTTAAATTAATAAATTAAAAATTGTATCATTTAAATAAATAAATAAATAAAAACTTGTATAAATAGGAGAGATTTGACATGTGCCTATGTAGTCGTGTTAAAGGGTGTGTTTGGATAAATAAGGGAGAAAAGAAAAGAAATGATAGTATTAGTTAGGAGAGAAAATAAAAGAAAAGAAAGGATAGTAATAATTTTTATTCGTATTTGGATAGATATGGGAGAAAAGAAAAGAAAAAATAATTATTCTTGTTTGGATAAGATATAGGAGAGAAAAGAAAAGAAAGGATAATGACTAAATTGGGAGAGAAATCATATACGGGATAGGGAGAGATAGCTATCACTCCCTATCCTCTCTTTTCTCTCTACTTAACCCACATGAACACACTCTCACACTATCCTTTGTTTTTTCTTTTCTCTCCCTATCCCTCCAAAATTGTTGACACCCTTTTTGGTAAATTTTGTATTAATAACATGGCAACCAATTTGGATATAAATTTACAAATGGAAAAGGTTACAGAAGCTACATTCAAAGGCAAAGGAGATTAAAACATTTGAATTATTTAATAGATAGGGATTATAATTTTAGTATTTATCTTTTAGTTGATGTAAGTTAAATATTTATGTTTATCTTTAGGATTAATTTATTTTAAACTTGTAGTTAGTTGGTTTATCTATAGGATTAGTTTATTTTGAATTTATAGCTAGTTGTGATAGAGTTGTAATGCAAGTAAAGTACTTGCATACAGGAGTTTGTTTCTATGTTTTATTCTATAAATAATCAAAGAGGCATGCTGAGATAGAGGTCCAGCACCCTTTGTCCCTATGGACATATACAAAATGAGAACCATAAACAAGTGAATGCCACATTTGTCAACCAAGGGAATAATCCGTATGGCACACATTACGATCCCGGGTGGAGGAACCATCCAAACACTCTTGGAAAAGCCAAGGGGAAGGCTCAAACCCTCCCCAAGGTTGTTGAAGTCCATTTGAGCTAATTTTCCAGAAAAGAAGTACCTTAATGCTGCATTTTGCAATATTGAGTGGTGCATGAAGACCTCTCATGTAATTTTAGTTACCCAGGAGATTTCTATGCCAGAATGTACCATATCTAACGGCAAGTTATGTTTACATATTAGCAAGTAGTGCCACCTTTAGCTTGGGAATTTATGTTTGAGTTGATGAGTTAGGGGACCAAATAATTACTCTCTTCATTTTGTCTATAGGAGAATGATCTCTCTTGAAGATTATCGTTTCTCCGCTGAATTTTGAGGTTCTAATAACCCTCCAAATTATATTGGACAAATTTTTTTAGATAATTATTTAATCCAAGCCTGGCATTTAGTATCTACAAGACAAGCTCGGGGAGCCAGAATCTTTGAATTGATGTTCTCACACCTGTTTGTTAGATTAAAAAAGGCAAAAGTAATCCTTTTATTTGATCTCTAACGATGCTTCTCTCAAAAATTCCTTAGGGAAACATGCACTAAAGTTTAGCCTGATTAAATTATTCAAAGGTGGAGTCCACCTACTAATGATGTTAATCAAGGTTGGTGTTGTTGTCAGGGGCTTATTTGTTGTTTTGGTTGTATGTTTTGTTGTTCGATGTGGGTTCTATTACTGCATAATGAATTTTGATATAGAACCAACATACGGGTTGAAATACTTATCTAATGAATTTTGTTGAAATACTTATCTAATGATATAAAAATATAACAATTAATCTAGAGAACAAAAAATAAATAAAAATAAAAATTGAGTAACAAATTCACTTCCTTCAAAGTGGAGCTGCTACTGCCTGCATAACTAATGCTCTCAGTTTTCCTTCCTTCTTGGTTTTCGGTTTCACATCATCATGGATACACGAGGACCAATAGAGCGGTAGAAGTGTGCATGCTGCCTGTATAATGAGACCACGAGGCAAATCCGAAAAATTGTTTCCTTCTTTTGGAAATTTCATTTTTTTTTGCACTTGCTTTTTTGTAATTAAATATTTGGGACTTGAATACTTGACATTTTAAAATGAGAACCAACTATTCTCCACCCACTCAATCCCACCTATTTCATTTGCCAGGTCAATTGGAGAAATTTTTACATGATTCAAGAGCGAATCACATGCAATTGTGTTAACTTTTTGTTTATGTGACTTCTTATGATTGATTGGAATTATGTCGTATGGAAGATAACCTATTACATGGAAGAGAGCAATATGAATGTGATTGTTAGATCAAAGAATAAGTCTTCAATTAGATGAAAACAATCTTTTTTTTTATTTTATTTTATTGTTTTCTAACGAAGCAAAAAGAAAAGTTGAGATCAATTCACATAAAGTGGAGTTTATTACATAACAAAGTTGAGATCAATACACATAGGGTGGGATTTACCATTGATCTCCAAAACCAATTTTTTGTTATTCAAATTTAAATTATGATTCAAAAGTCTATCCTATGGTCTAGATAAGCGAGTCAACAACTTGATATGGATCATATGCATACATTTATGCAAAATTATACAGAAAAAAACATGAGATTGAAAGACAAATTTCAATTAAAGCAAGGGGTCGTATTCATGCTTACATTGACTTATAAATTTCCATCTTTTGTTTTTGTTTGTTGGGTAAACCATAGTTACACGGACACATGATTTGTATATAATATATATGACATCTAATAAGCAGCATTGATGATTTTTTTTTTTTTTTTTTTTTTGGAAAGTAAGATTCATTGAAAGGTAAAATGCACAAACCATAAGGGAAAGCCCACACAAAACGTGGACAACCCAAACCAACAAACAAACAAAGAGGATACAGGAGCCCAAACATATACCAAAGACGTGCAAAGGCCCAAAAGCCTTACAGAAACAAAGACACTTCTAGTCTAACGAACTGTAGACTATGCGTGTCTAAATTGAATACTCTTCCGGTGAGAACAAGATTAGGGTTTACAACCCTAAGTGGCTTGATCCGGCGGCTCCGGCGGTGGTCTGATGAAGGACGGCAAATCCCAGTCCAGTTGCAACCGTCTATGCATAACACCACACCAGAAGAAACAAGGCAAGTTGGATAGGATATTACATAAAATTAAATAAATAGACGACCAATAGACCATATTTTTAATCTATAATAATAAATATTCCATTATTAATGTTGTTTTGTCCTTTGAGAGAGATGGACCCGCAACGGATTCTTCATCACAATAGTGAACTCTTGCTTCTCTGATAGATCAACATCACCATCATCACCAGCCGTCCATTTGAAATACCAAATCAAATTAGCAACAAAATACTCCAAGTGAAGCAAAGCCAAACCCGACCCGGGACAAATCCTCCTTCCTGCTCCAAATGGCATCATCTTGATTTCTCTGCTCCCGGTTATGTCAAAACCACCAGCTTCCCCTCCTCCTCCGCCGACTACCGCTTCTTTATCACCACCATTCCCATTGACAGTAGTAGAACTCAAGAATCTCTCTGGCTTGAACTCCATGGGATCATCCCATAGTTTAGAGTCCCAACCCATTTCGGCCACCATGAAATTGATGGTGGCATTCTTAGGCACCACGAACCCTTCTAACTCAACCTCCTCCGTCGCCGAGTGAGGCAACATGAAGTGCGCCGGCGGGTGACGCCTCAGCCCTTCCAACACCACCGCTTTCAAGTATGGCATCCTCTGCAAATCATCCTCCTTTATCACTGTCAACCCCAACTCCTCATCCGATGATGGCGGCGGTGGCGGCGGTCCCACAACTCCGGTGACCTATTCATAAAGCTTTGCCTGAACATCTGGGTACTTCACCAAGCTAGCCATGATCCACTGCAACGCCGTCGACGTCGTGTCAGTGCCCGCGTTGAGAAATTCCCCGCACAGACTCACCATCTCATCGTCGTTAAGCTTCATCTTCTCCTCCGTCAACTTCAGGCAAAACTCAGTAACAACTCTCTCTGAACTCTTTCAATTTCCTTAATTTGATATTCGTCAAGCTTGTCGCCGAAGCACATCAAGACCAGAAGACAGAGCATGGCGTACTGAAAATGATTCACCACTATGACGGATTTCGATCCCGATTTGTTGAGGCGGTTAATAAGGATGGCGAGAACCCAGTTTCGCGCCGCCCGGTAATTCTTGACGCGGGAAGGGTGGAGTATCTTGGAAGTGAGAAAAACAGTTTTTTATCCTGTATTTTTTATCACGATTTTAAAATAATCATAATAAAAGATCCTTTTTATTACAGTTTTACTATAATTTTTTTAAAAATTAATATAATAGAACTGTAGAAAAAAGTGAATTTATTTTTTTACCGCTCTTTCTATCACGATAAATGAAAAATGCAGGCATCGTGGTAAAAAGGAAATTTACTTTCACGGCCGTACGCAATACACACACACACGTACAGACCGCACACATACAATTTTAGGGCAAATCATTTCAGCCTCCCAAATCGCCTACATATGCAAACTACAAAATCTACGAGAATCATATCAGCCTCCCAAATCGCCTCCATCTCTATTCTCATTCTCAACTCTAAACTTACCCTCTTTCTGTCTCTGCAACTGTAAACTACAAAATTTACAAGAATCAGAACCCATATCAGTATATCATTTCAGATTGTTCAAAAAATCAAAACCCATATCCTTCAGTTTCGGGATGGTGGGGCGGGGCGGGGATTTCATTCCCCATCCCCATCAATTTTTCAATCCCCATCCCAGCTTAAAATTTCACCACCACCCCCATATCCGCCCCCGACCCCTTATCCCCGCCCCATCCCCGACCCCTGCCCCGATTAGCATATATTATTTTTTTTAAAAAAAACATATTTTTTTTTTATTTTCATATATATACTAATCTAATTTAGTAATAAATTATTAAATATAAGGGTATATTAGTAATTTAACCTTTAATCGGGGTGGGGCGGGTTTACCCCATCTCCACCCCGTCCCCGGCGGGTTTTCAAAACTTACCCCATCCCCATCCTCGTTTACATAAAAGGGTCCCCATCCCTGCGCGGGGAGGGGGAATTTGCCATCCCTACTTCAGTTTCCATAGCTGTTCCAGTTTGGGTTCGCCGTTCGCAAGCTTCAGCCTCTATCCCGCTGTCTCTCAACTCTCAAGCCCTCTCTCTCTGGAATTGCTAACTTGTAAGTATGGGTTTTATTTTAAATTTTTTTTTTTTTCTAAATCAATTAATCAAGTTCTGTAGTTCTTGTTTTGCAAAATGATTTGAACAGTACTCTGAAATATATATTGACATTGTGTGTGCCTGTGTAGTTTTAATTTGGTCTCTAAAGTTGGATTGATGGTTACTACTACTTGCAATCCTTTACGTGAGTGTCTATGTGCATGCATAGTGTTTGAGAAATTGTTTAGATGAAAATTTGTGTATTTTGTTGGGTTTTCAATAGGTTTTTGAAATGGAAATTTGATCTCCAAAGAGGAATATTAGGCTTGATTTGTTTATGATTGAGGTAGATTTGGTGCAGGAGAAATTTTAGAACCAGATTTGGTATATAAGGTGAGACATAAAAGATTTGTTATGTGAACTATAATGAAAAATATCAATTATTTTGCTTCCAAATTGGCATCTTTGTAAGCAAATAATAAAACGATGGTCAAAGTCCTAGTAAGGGAGCATACAAATTTGAATAATTTGAAGAGTTTTGACTTATCACATGTTAGCATTTTAAAACTTGATCAAAGGTTCAAACTTCAAATGCAATTGAATGCCTAATATTAGAAATTATGAGTGACCAATATAGCCAGCTTGTTGGCTTCAGAGAACCTTGCATACTAATAGTTTGATGACTATTTTAAAGAATTCTTTATTATGTATTCTCAAGATTACTATTGCAATACTACTTTGTCTTTTAACAAAATTAACAAGCAAAATTTTTAGAGCATATAGGATCAGAATCAGAGGCATATATGACCCAATTTTTAAATGATTTCATGTGACTGAAGGATTCTAGTATGTAATATGAGAAAAAGTTTATATTCTTAATTGTGTAGTAGAAGTGGGTATTTAAGATTAATTTAATAACCAAAAAATACATTTGTTTTTATTTTTTCTTCTTCTTCTATCATTAGAGATAAGTATTTTTTCTTGTCAGGTGCATTTCATCAATTGGCTTCATTTCTTCAAACTATGTGATATACCCAAAAGGTAAAAAACTATGCTTGTTCTTTTTTATAAATGTTCTCTTACTACAAACACATTGCTTTGTGTTGTGTCAAATGCAACTCTTGCTGGGTTTGTTTTGCTTTTGTAATTTGGGCTGTCTTATGGGCTGTTCTTGTATTTGGTTAGCCTGGGCTAACTTGTATTGCATATCTTATTATCTTACAAAATTGATTTTACCTTAAAAATAAAAATAAAAATAAAAAAAATGTTCTTTTACTACCCTAATAATAGTTGTTTCAAGTAAGAATGTGTTTAGAATTTTGCATTTGCACTTTCTTACCAGTTATAAGATTATTTTACTATCTTCATTACCATAAAATTCATGAAGTTCAATTTTTTTTTTTCCTCTACCTAAGGGAAACATGATCTTTATTGATATGACTAAAAACCTGTGTGTCGAAACACATCTAGATATTCACTGCATAGATGGTTCACCAAAAGTTGTATATTTGTTTAGTTTTATTATTTATTTATTTATTTATTTTATAATTCTTGTCATGGAGCACATTTTTCATCTGAATTTGTATGAAGCTATTGACCTAAGTTTTGGGAGTTACATTTCATATACAATTTTTTGAAGGATCTCTTGGTTGTTGAATCTTTGGAGAAGTCATTTGGAATTTTTTTTATTTTTTTATTTTTTATATTTGTAGTTTGTCATAGTGAGCCGGCATCCTAAATGTCAAATTCTTGAAACATTAAAGGGACATTTGGAAAGAAAGCTACTTGAATAAGCTGCATGCATAAATTAAATATAGTGAACTTGATAATATTTGTAAATGGGCCAAAAGAATGGTGGATCCTTTTTCTTTTCACAACTAGTGCAGGAGTTGAATTTACACAATACACACACACGCACGCGCGCGCGACTACAAAAGGAGGTGCCTATAATTGATTTGACACATGTTTAGAGCAACTATCATAGCAGAAGTATTTTTAACAGTCAACCCATTTTACTTTTTGTCTTCTGATTTTGCTAACATTACATTGAAAATTAGGTTACTTTTTGTCACTTATACAACTATTGATCTTTACTCCACATGATAAATCATTTTAACTCCAGTAAAATTCACAAAAGCTATTATAAGAGCAATCAATGATTGGAGTGTTGGGTTAGTGCTAGAGCAGTAGTCTTGGAGGATATTAGGAGTCTCGTGAAAATTTTCAAAGGTGCATCAATTCAGGTGCTTAAATGCATATATAAACGTTTCTATACTATATTTTGTTGGATGCACAACCTAAGAATGAGATTTATTTAAGGAATTAAGTTTAGTTTTGGTACTTGCTACAGAGTTGGTTCAATCTTATTAATGGAGAATTTTCATTGGCTATTATGCTAAGCCTTGGTCATTCACTACCTTTTTTTTTTCTCTCTTTATTTTTGGGAAAACAGTCATTATTAACATACAATGTGAGTATTTTATATTTGTTGGCATTACATTTTGAAATATTTTTCTGACAGGATCCATTACTAACAGTTTGTTAGAAACTTAGGAGCAGAACAACACCATGACACTCTGAAGGTAAAATATTTAATCCACAACCAATTCTATTTTCTGAATCATATTTCAATGTACCTTTATTATAATGCTCGCTTTGCTTGTTTTAATTTTGGCAACTTTACAACTTGCTTTACATTCTCTTAATTCAATTAGTTGAAGAATTGTTAGAATTTAAATGAAGAGTTGTGTTGGAAAATGGAACCAAACATACTGATTTTAGAACTGAAATATCTATACTTAAAACTGTTATCTTTTAAATTAAATTTTGGATATGATAGTACAATTATTAATGAGTTTACATGCTCTTTTTTTTTTTTTTTTTTGGCTCAAATTGATTGAATTTTGAAATTACTACGGATTTTCGAAGTTGATGTTAACATGTTGCCAAAACTGTTTTGTGAGCAGAAATTTTCTCATATTTTCCTTCAAACCTGATTTAATCGGTAAGAATTGATTTAAATTGATAGAAGAAAAATATAGTCTTTAAGCTTCCAATGGACTTTGGTTTCATGCAAATTGTTTGAGAATTTATTTTTTTATGAATTATCAAAGGGAAGTACATTTTTCTGGGAAAAACTATTTCAAACAGATTTTTGGGCTTCCTTATGATTTTTGGTGCTCCAAATAGTCCAATCAATTAAAAAAAGTGGTCTGCTCATATAGTGGTCTGTTCATATATTTATAATATATCTCTTTCCTGATGAAGGCCCACCCCTTTCCCTTATTTCACGGATATAAAAACAAAAATTAGATGATTAGTAATATAAAAACTAAAAAGTGTAAAACATTAAGCCACAAAGCATAATTATTCATTAAAATATGATCCACCCCAGTGGTGTTAAAACCCTTTCAGCTCAAAGCTTTCACAATTACAATTCAATCCAAACCAGTGGTGTTGAAAGGGCTTCTCATTCCATGGATTCTCTGTGGACTTCTCACATGATCATGCAAAGATGTTTTAATGATGTTTTGTGATTTTGATTTTGTGTGTATTTATTTATAATGTCCCTTATTTTTTAGTTTTTTCATTTAACTATCTCCACTTAGGGTATATTTTGGTGTTATATTTTCTTTAATTGATTTACATGTACTTGAAATGTAGTCTTCCAAAGGGGCTGGGAAAAGACAACGACGGAAGCGTCAATTGCATGGCCTATCAAGTATATCAAAATTTGTAAGTTATATGGTCTTTATGTTCGATAAAATTTGACGGTGTCTCGGCCGTTCCTATTCGCCAAACTAATGTAGTGAATGTAGGTTTAAGAAAAGCCTTTTAGGTCAAGTTTAAATTTATAAAAACCATTACTACTAACGTAGCAAGGGTGAGTAGGGATCGTCCCAAGGGATTTGAGGGCTACTAGTAATGGAAACAATGCTTAGGGTTAGTACGTCGAGTGATCAAAGGTAGGTTGTTTGGTTGATTAAACTACAATTAAGATTAAGCAAGTTCAATATAAAACAAGTAATTAAAGGATAGAGAAAACAAGAGAGAGAGATGTCTTGGGACTTAGAGATCACCACTAAGCATCACTTTTCTATACACTTAATTCACAATAAATAAGAGGGAAAATATATGTTGCAACAATAGTGAGTTTGTGTGGTTGTTTTAACAAGCATGGATGACCAATTAAGTATATATTGTCTAAACAACACAATGAATAGCACAATACATCAAACTAAGTCATTAATCCTTCTTTAAGCTCACAATCCAAACACATCACATAATTAGAGAAATATACTACTTGCATTCATAAGTATGGAACATCAAATAACAAGCATGGTTTGTTCTCTCATTTAACAACTAAGGTGACTACACTACATCTAAGCTAATGACAAGGAAATTAAACTAATTAAACTAAGGAAGAGGCACAATCCATCAAGAAATGAGTATGAACCATCAAATAAACCACAAGAGCATTCTATTAAGCATTATATCTTGACAAACTTTAGATCTATACCATCAACACACATAAACATGCATCAACAACACAAAAGATAGAGATAAACACCTGAACATCTATTCCAGTGTACATAGACATATGGATAGAATGAAATGATCAGTTGGAAGAATTAAACCACACAAATCATTGAATAAACAAGTTCTATGTAAATAAATATGTCAAAACATGTATTACAACACGAATCCCCTCAAAAATACATAAATCAAGGTAAAAAAAAGCATGCTTAGGGCTAACTCTAGCCCCAAGAGGATGTCTAGCCACTCATGAATGGTGTCCTCCAACCCTCAAGGGCTATCTCCATGGTAGAAGTGCTCTCCTTCTTGAGGAAGATGAAAAACCTCTCAAGAATGTGTTTCTAGCCTCCTCTTCTCTTTTCTTCCTCTCTAAGAATTGTATCCCTCCACTCTAAAAAGTATATCAAAGACTATATGTAAAAGTGACTCATAATCCTTATATAGATAGCTCAAATGTCACACCCAATGGTCTAGGCTCGTACATAAGGGCTCCTCCAATGATTGCACAATGAGACAACTTTTAATGAGCTGGAAATATATTTTTTTCGGACTTGAGAAAGTTCGATCGATCGAACTGTGTTGAGATCAATCGAACATGGCTGAGATCTATCAAACTTTGGCTAGATCAATCCTCCCATGGCGGCCCCTTTTTGGATAAGGACAGATCTGAGATATTTTAGGGAAAGAGACAAAAGTGGTAGGTAGGGTGGTACAACAGGATAAGATGGAATATTTTCAATCGATCTGAGAATTGTTGGATCGATCGAACTTTATGGGATCTTTGGATAAGGACAACAGGGCTTGGATCCATCTTGGAAAGTCTAGATCGATGAACTTTCGATCAATCGAAGTATTCTTGAGATCGATCGAACATGCTGATTTCCACACTTTTTGCTTCATTCTGCTTTCACTTTGCTCCTTTCTTCCATCCAGCTTGAGTTAGCTTCTTTTAAGCTCTTATTTGGCTGAATTAGCTTATTTTGGGGATAAACGCCTAAAAAGGGCAATAACACGAAATTAGTCTAAAAATGAAAAGTAAGATAGATAAAGGTCCTAAAATACCTATGCTTAAGGGGTTTAAATGCGCACTTTTCAGTGCTCATCACAATTCTTTTATGATTGCCCATTTTTAATGCTTTTTATACTCATACTCAGGGGGGTCACATGCCTTTAAGTGACTAATTTTTCAGTGCATCTTGAACTTTATTATCTTATTGGTACATCGGCCCGTGTGGAGGCCATTTTTATTTCTTGTTTTAAAATGTTGAAAGCATGGGAGTATGGTATCATCGTATGTGGAGGTTTTGATTGATTGTTGTGGAGGAGAAGTTGTTGATATGTTGTTTAAGGAGTTAATGCAAGTTGGCAACTTAAATTTTTTTTTTTTTTATGTATTAGTTGTTATTCATATTATATGCATATGATTGGTGTAAGAAAAATGCGGTGGATTGATTACCTTGAAAAAAGAGTGCTATAGTCACATCTATATTCTCTAGTACCACATGTTTTAGAATGGCTTTCCAGTTAGATTGAACCGCATATCTCTTTGATCACTTCTCACACTTGTACTTCTTCTCACCAAGCTTTCTTGAGTAGTGCTTCTTGATTGTGTCCACTTTTCACAGATACACCTTCATCTTCACTTCTTTTGTAGTTTTCTGCTTTAGCTTCCAAGGTAGGTTGTGTCCTCTTCTGTGGAGCTGGAGGTTTTGCTCCCTTTGGAATCCTTTGTTGCATTCCTCACAAATGAACTTGTTTTTTGCCATTAGGGTCTTGGGAAATAGTATAATTACCTTCACATCTGGATCTGTTATGTAGGATAAAGAAGTCAAAATAGTGTGATAAGTAGATAATCTTGTACTTTTAAGATGATTAAATGCAATGTATTAGCCAAAAATTAATTAAAAATAAATATATAAAAAGAATTACTGTATTCAACTTTAACACAAATTATGATGACAAAAGATTGGAAAGAGATCAGTTTAGAATGAGGTGTTTACAAAAAGTCAGACCTGATATCCCACTATTTTATAATATTTGTGTATATATAATACACATTTACACACACATATATATAAAAAGAGATAAAGGACAACCTGGGATTACAGAAGAGTTGAGAAATTTGTAGTAATACTAGAATGGAGGGCGTCTCTCATGTCCCTACCTCTTTGTGATATGTCCAAGTATTGTCAACTGTTTTGGTATTATGGAAACCAATCTGAAAACTGGCTACTCTTAATTCTCTCCTATAAATACTATGCAATCCCCTTCCTCAAAATCACTACTTCATCTCTCGTTTTAGCTATCTCTCTCTCTCTATAACATACAGTTGCATCCAAGGGGGGAAAAGAAAAAAAAGAAAAAAAAAGAAAAAAAAAAGACAGGTTTGATATAACCAATTAGTTGCATCTGAAAGTAGAGACGGGTTTGCCCCTAAATTTTCAATGCTGGTATGACCTAGCAACACCTAACATTCACCCCTTCTTTTGGCAACCGAAAAAATTAAGGTGTGAAATTATAGTGTCAACAATCAATTTGGACTTATGCCACAAAGATCAACAATTGAAGCTATTTAAATATAAAAATAGATAAAAGTGCCAACAAAAATAGATAAAACTCATAAATATAAAAATTCAATCCTGAAGTACCTAATTTGTGCACCTTAAAGGATGATGATAGAAACACAACCAGGTAAACTCCATGGAATTGGCTACTAATCATGCAAAAATAATATAGCTGTTTTTTCCATAACTTTACTAACTAGGATGCCCATTTATTGTCAACTATCATATCTTCGCAATAATACATGCTCGAAATTGTATAAACAGAATCAGGATGCCATTTTTAATGCAAACGATGTGCCTAGATAGTTTCAAGATTGTATTATAGGAGGAAAAAATTATTTAGTATGAACATAGTTGTTATTTTAGTTCTATTTTTCACTGAAATAAGACTTTATACTAAACCTATTTAAATTTTCGGAAGAATGTTCAACTTAACTGACTTTGAAGAGTAATTTCCAAGACTTAAAATTCTCAAGCTCAGACCTTAAGTTGCGCAAACACTAACCACAATCTACGAATGTATTGGTACTTCAAATTATTAAACTTATCTAAGATTTGTCCTTTCCTTCTGAGGTGCTGTGGTTGGAGCTGTTGAAGAAGTGGGTATGGAAGGATGCCCATTTATTGTCAACTATCATATCTTCGCAATAATACATGCTCGAAATTGTATAAACAAAATCAGGATGCCATTTTTAATGCAAACAATGTGCCTACATAGTTTCAAGATTGTATTATAGAAGGAAAAAATTATTTAGTATGAACATACTTCTTATTTTAGTTCTATTTTCCTCTGAAATAAGACTTTATACTAGACCTATTTAAATTTTCGGAAGAATGTTCAACTTAACTGACTTTGAAGAGTAATTTCCAAGACTTAAAATTCTCAAGCTCAGACCTTAAGTTGCGTAAACACTAACCACAACCTACGAATGTATTGGTACTTCAAATTATTAAACCTATCTAAGATTTGTCCTTTTCTTCTGAGGTGCTGTGGTTGGAGCTATTGAAGAAGTGGGTATGGAAGGTTGTTGCTGCTGCTTCATCTGGTTTTAATCATCTTCTCTTAGTCCGAAGAATGGCGTTGATGAGGGATTGCCTGTGAATATATATAAGGCAGCTTCCAAACTGCATAGGCTACAATACCATTCATATATAGTTCAAGAGCAGTGAAATATTTTTCCTAGGAATAGAGTTTTAAGGAAAATTTTCTCAGTCATTCTAGCCGACAACACTTTTATGATTGGCTAATGCTGATGAATCCCTTTCATTTTTCTAAACTTTATTTGGTTAAATTAAGGTGAAACATCAATTGTTCTTCTATACTTTTAGAAAAAAAAAAGTGCTCATTTTATGTGCATTTGGACTTAAAAGAAATAACTGATGGTACATAGGATATATGCTAGCTAGGGAACTTTGTTTCCCTTTAAGCAATTCTAGTGGGGTGTGAAACTACCACTTTGAAAAATAAAGCATCTATTCGCACTATCAATCATTATGATTCTTTGTTGGCCATTTAAAGTGTTCTAATTTTGATGAAGAGTAACCCTATAATGAAAAGAAGTTATAAATAATCAAACATTTTCTTCTCCTGACATGAAACATATATTTAATTATTGACAA